TTGCACACGATTCAATATTGATTTTAGTGACCTCCGATTGGCGTAACCGGGTGTCATTAGATTAAGCCAATATACCTGCCAGTCTCTCCATTACAGCGCACACCTTAGTGTCTCCACCTTCAGGTCTGCTCTCGGTCTGTGGTCATGTGACAAGCAGGTGTTCGTTATCAGCGGCAGAGCCTTCCTGTCTGAGACGCCGTCTCACACGCTGCTTCCTGTCTGTTTGTAGTGTGAGACTGACACATTAGCTGATAATCCCTGGGTAATCCTCTGTGTTAGCAGTGGGCTCTGATTAGCCCCGCCCGCTGATTGTTAATTAACCAAATCCCTCGCTACAGCCGATGACAGAGCCCACTCAGCTGTTGACATGACGACTGTTGCTGCAGATACCGCCTCCCTCTGGGCAGCTGTGAGTGTTTTTTAATTTCAAGTCTTAATTTCCTGTTCGTGATGTGAGCAGTTTGTCGCCTGACTTCCTGCTTCAGAGCGGTACACGCCGGCGCTTTAATCTTTAACAGCAACGTCATGAAATGTTCATGCAGCGGGAGATTGATGCTGCTGAATATTTGAACAGGTACGTTACCTGACCGGGGCCCCACGGCTCTGAGCGGGCTTCAGCAGGACGGTGACGGTGGAGTCGGTCTGATTCAGAGGAGACTCCTGATCATACGCCGGCATCAGAGGAGCTGAAGAGGAGGAGGAGTTACAACACGTTCAGCTCATTCCCTCCTGATTTACCTTCACACTGAAGCAAAGAGTGGAAACGACTCAAAGGCCTGGCGAGGAGCAGAACCCGAGAACACGGTGGAATCAGCTGATTCCTTCCAGCTCGACTGTTTGTGTCGGGAAAACCCGAGTCCGTCTGCCTGTTTACTCTCACCCGCCTGAACACTGTGACTGAAAGCTCCGCTGGGATTAAACACACTGGCTTTTCAAAATAAAATGTCAGTAAGAGCCAGTGAGAAGCACCATCGAGTTAACCCTTTCTCACCCAGCCCAACTTGTTTTGTAGTTTTGGTTGTAAAATGACATCTTTCAGGAAACATTTGGATTTTCTCTCTACTCCAGAGTCATGGTCATGTGACGCATGTGTGGTAAAATCTAGGCGGAGCAGATTTCTCTGTCCGTGTTGAGCAGCAGAAACTTGTGAACACACAAAATAAGCTCACCTCGTCTTCCTTCATGGCAGTCATTTAAAGTAAAAACAACAATCTGAGCCCTTAGTTTGACAGTCCTACCTGAGATCTTGGTGGTAAACTGGGTGATAACAGGGGGCCCAAAGCCTTTAACAGTGGAGGCTCTTATTGTGAAGGAGTAGGTGGAGCCTGGGTAGAGGCCCGTGAACATGTGGCTTGTCTCATTGGCCGGTTTCAACACCTTGCCGCTCTGATTGGACAGGTCAAACTCCGTGTCGAAGGAGCTCAAGGCTTTGTAGGATATCTGGGGAGAAGACAGACATCGGGACCCAGATGACTCCTGGGGTCTGACTGGGAGACTGCAAAGCCTGCTGGGAGTTGTATGCATTTACCTCGTACTGCCGGATCAGGCCGTAGGTCTGCAGCGGTTCCCTCCAGCTAAGGCTGATCTGCTGCTCGTAGCTGCTGCCGAGGATCGAGTCCACGGGGACTGCCCCGGGAACTGAAACCAAAACGTCACCATAGGTTACCATCGGACGACAAAGCAGTAGACTCTACTGTGTTTCTACTGTGAAAGTGTTGTGACTCTACTGTGACTCCACTGTGACTCAAGGGAGAGTTTTACCATCCTCGTCTGTCAGCACCAGCAGCTCCTCGCTCTCCTTGCGTCCTTCGGGGTTGCTCAGGATGAGTCTCAGGCTGACGTTGGTGAAGGGTGGAAGGTTACGTACGGTGTGCGTCGGCATGGTGCTCCTTGTGTCATACACCTCCTCCTCCCGCACCTCCTCCTTCGCTGGCTCCCTGCAGGAGAAAAAGCAGGTGTTTTATTTCCTCCCTTCTTTCTACCCACAGTCTCCCCCCCACCTGGTTCCTGCCCCGCTGATGATGGCTGCTTCCTGTGGCTGCTTCCTGTGGCTGCTTCCTGTGGCTGTGTCGGTAGGTCATGGTAGTCTGAGGAGCTTGGAAAGAAAGCAGCTAGACTTTCATCTGAGAAGCTTCTTCAGTTCTAAACCAAATAGTTGAGTGGTATTCATCTATTTATCAAGTTGTCCCTTATGAGGGACCCACTACTGATCATGTGACTCATCACATTAGCCAGTGGGTGAAAAAAGGCGTGGGTCATTATCAGCAGAGGTTTCAGGTGAACCCACTGTGAGATCTTGCCCCACCCTATCATGTGACTCATCAACGGCCCAGGATGTGAGTGGGTGTTTAGGCATCTGGGAAGGATTGTAGATGGCAGACAGTTGTGCCGTAAGCCCCGCCCCCTGTTCACAGTGGACATAGACGCTTCTTTCACTCGTCTCTCAAACCACCGGCATACTCGAAAGAGTGACCTTTGGTAACACCTGACACCTCAGCTGATAAAGACCCACACCTTGGCTCATGTGGTGAGTCACATGATCAATAGAGGTTCAACGACCCTCATAGGGGACACCCCCACTAGGGTTTAAATACCTGGGACTCTCCACCATTTGGTTTAGAACTGAAGAAGCTTCTCGGATGAAATGAAACTTAAAGAAGTACAGTTTCCTTCTTTCCTCCTCCTACCTTCACCTGCTCACCACGCCCTCCATCCAGCTGTGGTCCAACTCTCCATCTCTAATTTCTGCTGGACCCTCCTTCTCTTTTTGTATGATTACTCTGCCAATCATTGGCCCCTCCCTCTCACTTCATTTGGTTCATTACTATCTCTACCATTGGGACCTCCCTCTTGCTTCCTGTGTGTACCTGCTCAGGGCCCCTGCAGGTCTGTAGCGGTACTGCACAGTGAGGTTGTAGCTGTAGCAGCGCGTCACGTTGTATCCGAATGGTTCCCAGCGAACCGCCACCTGTTTGGACTGGATGTCAACGACTTCAAGACGCCGCGGGCCGTTCATCGGATCTGAAACCAACACGAAGACAAACAGGAACATGTGATGAGGATAATGAATTGAGACACACCTGTGCTCACCTGTAGCCCTTCTTATCCTCTCCACAATGATGAAAGTAAACTGAAGCTCCTGCCCTGTTGCTGCTGTTCTTAACTTCTGATGGATGTAAACACGTTTTGTTTGACGGAGGATTCGGGTGTTCGTCCTTAAACTGCAGTGTGAACGTCACGTTGTCACGTCTCTAAAATCCTCTGTGTGTGTAAAGTGAAAACAGAGCTGGCGAAGGGCTCAGCTCTGCTGCCAACTGTCGCCAAACCGGCGCCTCGCTCTGGGGTCAGTCAGTGCTCAGCCAATCAGAGTTGCTAGGACCTGACCAGGTGACCTCCATCTGAGTTTCTTCATCGCTCAGCGTTTTTATAGGCACGCCTCGTCTCCATCGGCTGACCTTCCTGCTGCTGTTAATGACTGAAGCAGCATGTGTACGTGTTGTATGACTGGTAATCAAATGCAACAGAAGAGCTCGCTGCATGCACACCAAATCACAAACATAACTGTGCTTCTTACCAAGGCACGACTGCAAATCCTGACATGCATCGACATGTCCGTAGGAAAAACACCTCCTCGTTACATCTGCTCCACTTATATCTGGCTTTGCTTTCCTCACTTCTAATATGAAGTAATCCAGCCAGTGAGATGATGTGAGGAACATAAGGTGTGCATCTCTTCCTCAAACCTCTGTTTCTTCTTGTTGTCCATCTGTTTTCTTACGGACATGCTGATGGATGTTAGGACTCCCAGTTGTGCTTCGGTAAGAAACAGTTATGTTTGTGGTGTGAATATTTCGAGCTGTTGAAAGAAAGATGATTACACTGCATAAAATAGCTGACGCTCAGCACATTCGACCAGACGAGGAAAAATCCAGCCGGTCGGTCTGGTGACTCAAACCGGCTCTCCTCCACAGTCCTCATTTATAACGTGCAAACATCAACATCACAGCTAACAGCTGGATTTTACCGTTTCGGTGCAGCTAGCCAAACAGTGAACACTTTCTGCCACAGACACAGACAGTAAAGTGGACAGTCTGTCCTGGTTCAACTCACTGCTGCAGCACTAAAGTGATCCCCTCACACTCATGTTTAGTTTAATTTCCTCTGAGGTATCCATCCTGTCAGTAGTTAGCTAACATAAAGCAATGCGAGTCTGTTAGCACCAACCAACCAATCACATGACGTCACATGCCGTACTGACAGAAGATGGCGCTGAACACGACCCGACATCACAGACAGACTTGGGTCCAGGCTCAGTGAGGTATATAAGTCTTTATGTGTAAAGAGTTTCATTTCCACGTTAATGAGTGAAATTTTATCAGCAGGTATCTGTGCCTGTGTGATGCTCCCCTACAAACCTGATCAGCTGATAATTCAGCACTGCACACAAACACGGAAACAGAAACAGCTGGTTAGCAGGGATTGTGTTTCCCAGTCATGCATGTTTCCTGTTTATCACGTGTGTCTCCAAACAGGCAGAAACATATAAAACCAGTGGCTGTTAACTAAACCCAAACCTTGCAGCATCACCAACATCCAGCTGGACAGAAGCCTGAGGAGTGGACCAATCGGTATCCAGCACCGCAGACTCCACCCTGACGCTTCACTGAGGACGGAAACAGACTTCAACTCAAACTTTATTAACACACAGATTGAAAACAGATGGAACCATCTGGGAACCATTACAGCCCGTCCAGTCTGGGCTCCTCAGAGCCACACAGACCCCCCCACCTCCCCCACCTCCCCTGCCTCCCCCCTCTGAGCCTCCAGCAGAGACTTTAACCAACACTGGAAAAAACCCGAGCTCCCTGTG